GTGACATCAGGGGTTCAACCGTAATTTTACAAAGCTACGAGAATACGTTTTGTGCGCAAAAGAAAGAAAAAAAACAACTTTATTCAACAATTCGTCTCCTTAGCATCACCCTAGCCCCATTTTGGACAGTATCCACTGAACGTAAATTGCGTATGCTGTTTTGTGTCAGCTGTGCCATGCGTATAAAAATAAAGTTTTTTTTTTTTCTTTCTTTTGCGCACAAAAAGTATTCTCGTAGCTTTGTAAAATTACGGTTGAACCCCTGACGTCACATGGATTATTTTACCGATCTCCTTGCTACGTTTCTGGACCTTGATCGTGTAAGGACCCTTGCTGTCTATGGGAGGGTCAGAGAGCTCTTGGATTTCATCAAAAATATCTTAATTTGTGTTCTGAAGATAAACGAAGGTTTTACGGGTTTGGACCAACATGAGGGTGAGTAAATAATGACAGAATTTTCATTTTTGGGTGAACTATCCCTTTAAGTCACAGATGGCAAATAAAATATGACACAGATTAGCCACCATTGGTTTTTGTGTCATGGTCAAACATCATTGACGTCAAACTATAGGTTTTATTTTTTCCAAATTATTATTTTTTTTTTTTTCCGTTTTATTTTTTGGGGCTCCATTTTTAAAGGGACAGTTCACCAAAAAATGAAAATTCTGTCATCATTTACTCACCCTCCACTTGTTTCAAAAGTTTATGATTTTTTTTCTTCTGTTAAGCACAAAAGAAGATATTTTGAAGAATGTTGGTCTCCAAACAGTTGAAGGTAGCCATTGACTCCCATAGTATCTAAAAAATACTATGGAAGTCAATGACCACTAATCTACTATCAACTGTTTGATGACAGAATGTTTAATGGTTAAATTAAACTTTAGTAATCTAAAACCATCTCTAATTAATTGAAATCATGAAACTTTTACAATTTAACAACAATTTTTTCAAAGTTTAACAATTTAAATTTTTAGGGCCCTATGAATTTTTTTCTCAAATTCTGATTTTTTTTACCAAATTATGTGTTTCCAATTTTAATTTTTCTGACATTTTTAAATAAATGTCAATAATCAAAATTATTATTCATTTTTATAATAATAGAGCTCTATGAAATGTTCTGTTTTTCAGAAATTCTGTGTTGTGTATTTCAATTTTTATGGTAGTTCCGGAAATCATAGGGTCCTACCTTTTATATCACTCATTTAAAGTCGAAATTTTGATTTGAGATCCGTGATATTTTTCTTATATTACTTGTTTTAAATTTAATATATACAGTCTGCTTGCCGTACAAAGACATTGCATGATTTCGACGTAGCACATAGTACAAACTACTTTTATGGAAATTTCTCATCCCATCTGGAGCTTGACAGATGTGGTCATTACGAACATCACTGTTTGACAAAGAACTGTGTGACAGAGTAAATGACGACAGTTTTCGACTGCTTTAACACAAGATAAAACCATGAGCAAACCTGAATCATGTAGAGTTGAGCGATGCGGTACTCCTCCACGCTCATGGGCATGGGGATGCGGTACTCTTTGATCAGCATGTTGGCCGTGGAGCGGGGCTGGGGCTGGAAACGCTCCGCTGGGTCAGGGGCAAATCCACCAGGACGGCCCTTAGCTCGAGTGCATCAGAGAGAAGGAGCCAAGCTCATTTCTCAGACCTGGGCAGAAAACAGAGACAAATCAGACCTGAAAATCATCTACAGACGTCCAGAGGAAAGCTCAAGAGATCAAGTATCCCAGAGACGCCCATCTGAGGGAAGTATACAGAGACGCCAAAAAAATAAAAATAAATACATACAATAAATGTTGTTTCTAAAATTAAAAGATCTAAACATAATCATAAACCGCATACATTCAGCAAGAAAAAAGAAGAAACCTAATTCGAGATATTTGCTCTAAAAACAAGTCTTGTTGAGTAAATTTATCTTGCTTGAAGGATGCTGTGGTATTTTTACAGTAACACTGATACAAAAATACTGATTAATAAAATTACACAAGATAGTTTTTTTTTTTTTTTTGAAGTCATGCTCAGCAAAAACACCAAAACAGCAGATCCAAGATTGGTTGCATAATGCAGGGCTCTAGTAAAAACATCTAAACATAAACAGTCTTTATCATAAACTGCACAAATTTAGCAAGATTTGCCTAAATGCAAAAAAAAAAGAAACCTACTTGGGCTACGTCCACACGAAGCCAGAGCTTTCCCTATCCGATCTTTTTTTTCCCCCTCGTCTCAAGAAATATCTGCGTCCACAGTCTGCACGAAACCACAAAACCGACACAAAACAATGTAGTATACATGCCAGACCAGCATGTGACGCTGTAATGCTGCCACAGAGATGCACTAAAAAAGGAGAATAAGACTTGGACTATGCGCATAAACCTTGCGCGCGGTATACAAACGAACATGGAACAATACATTTATTAATCTGTGTTAATTTTAGTTAATAAAAAGACAATCGTTCAGTGTTTGTTCATGTTTTTGTTGCTGTTACGTGACGTAGCGGTATCTGACTAGGGGCTAGACGTGGGCTGATGACATCATAGTTTCAGAAAATATACGGATTCGCTGTCCACACGAAAACGCAAGGGCGGCATTCTCAGATTTATCCACTCTGTGACCCGGTTTCAAAAAATATCGGTTTCACTCTCCCAAGACGCCGGATCCGTGTGGACGAAACGCCTATACGATACAAAATTTATGCATATACAGCTAAACGCGTCTCCGTGTGGACGGGGCCTTAAAAATATTTTGTCTGAAAACAACTCCTAATGTCATGTGCAAAATTGCTTCTTGATTAAATTTATGTTGTTGTGAAGGATGTTGAGATATTTTTACAGGAAAAAAGACAAAAATAATTTTGATTAAGAAACTGAACAAAGATGCGTTTTTAAAAGGTGAACCACTTTGATCAGTTAAAGTGTCTTGAAAAAGCTGAAAAAAAAACAGCAAAATATGTTGCAATGGCATTTCTCTTGCACAAATTAATCCATACACAGAAAAAAAATACAATAGATCTAAAAATGTCCCAGAGATGCATATGGAGAACCAATAAATAAAAACAATAATTTTGAGATTTTGTTTTTAACTCGTGTTCTCTGAAAACAAGTCTTAACATCTTATGCAAGTTTTGCTTCTTGAGTAAATGGATCTTGTTTGAAAGAAGTCATGCTGAAAAACAAATCGCTTGAGAAGCTGAAAGACCACACTTAAACAGGGATACAACTGATTCTTTGCACAAACAGATATTTAGAAATATATAGAGAAACACCGGTAAATCATCTTAAACAAAACTGCTCATAAATAAACTGTATTTCTGCATTTACAAACTGGCATATTCTATATTACTTATTAGAAATAATTACTTAGAAATCATTACTTTTAATTACTTATTTGAAGAACACTGGAAAAGCATTATTAAACTGAAGTGCATACAGTATTTAAAACCTGTGTATTTCTCTGTTTACAAAAGTAGCATATTCTATATTGCTTCATAATCACTCACAAAACCCCAAACCAACAGCTGTTCTGTATAATCACACAGGCATTATGTATTCAGACATAGTGGTCTCAAACACATGCAGCACAACCGACTTGCAATTAATAAATACAGTGTTACTAATCTATTTTACATTGCAATAATATTTCAGAATATTTCTGCTCTTACTGCATTTTTGATCAAATAAATGAAGCCTTGGTGAGACTTTAAAAAAAAACATACCTTTGAATGTTAGTGTACAGTTTCAATAAATTATTAGTCTGATGAAAGATTAACTTGTGAGCATAGATGCTGAAGATCTAAATGTATAAAAAAAAAAGTCACGCAGGTTTGAAATGAAACTAATAAATTAAGCAAATTAAATACAATAGTTAGCCTAAGTGCTTTAGAGAGGATTTTCAACATTAAAACGAAAGGCTCAAATTCCTGCATTTATTCTCTGTTCACTTATAAATATCAGAATAGGGTTTCGACATTCTTCCACAGGAAAAACGATAAAAGATCACAACTGGACGGGATTATTGAGAGCAGTAATGGTCAGCGCTGGTGCATTTTGGTCTTGAACTAGGTCAGGGACCCGGAGCATCGCAGCTACTCTGGGCTTGTGGCTAGACCTGAAATATCAGACAAATGCATTGAGACACCATCGTGAAGGCCTGAGACGTTCTGCTGCATGCCAGACACTACAATACCGACACAGCTGCTCCTTGAACAGACATCTACCTATTCTTCAAAGGACATTACGGATGACATCTTCACTCCCACTGAAACCAGTCCGTCCTGATGCCACACCGCTGCCGTCACTTGTCGTGCTGTTTCACAACAAAACACAAGCGCTACGGGACTCGTTTGTGTCAGACGTGTCGCGAAACACTGACATATGTACCTACTGAGAGGGATTTCAGCGCATTATCTTTCTGTTTCTCACCAGCTGGTTATGCCGTACTACACTGGAGCATGTGTTGCCATCGTTCTGTAACGACAAAGTAAACACAATTCTCTATAAACGCATCAGATGCAATTTTCCATAATTATGTTGGGAAGGTTTCTAAAAATTCCTCTCGTTGGCAAGTGTCTACAGTGCCTATGAGAGGACAGTTCCCTACTGAGACTGCTTTCCCAGGACCTGTGTGTCCAAACAAACGGACACCACAATCCAAAGTCTTTAAGCACATCTCGGCAGCAGAATGCAAAATACAGTGACTAAAAAGAGTGCAATAACATTTAATGGCGTATTAATTAGCATATTGCATTAGAGAGAAATGGAAAAGGTAATTGCTTGTTTGTGTCAAGTGTCCACATGGTAATATGGCATATCATCATTTCAGTGTGTTCAACAGGCATTTGACACCTAGAGAACCTGTTTTGTATGTAAATACCAAAATACGAGGAAATGCTGGCTGAGCTGACAGTATCTGTAATGTACAGCCCTACAAAACATCACGTTGACACCATCGTTAATCATTTCCTTTAAGGTTAACCATTGAGATTTTTCCCCACCTCAACCTCCATGTTAATACGTCAAGGCGTGTATCGGTTAAATTGCGAGGTGAGGTGAGGCAATTTGGGTTTTGAAACGCCCAAATCACAGCCGAGACTTGCACAGATGGATTTGCATGTGAAAATACTGTGGGATTGATGAGCATTCCATTAGAGACTCAAATCAAAACCAGGAGAGCACAGCATGCAGCCCTCCGTCCCCTCAAAAAACACCTGTTTACCAGTTGCGTCAAGAAGCAGGCGCTGAGATTCCAGACGTTTGTTCGAGCGTAGACGTTTTACCTGTTAGATGGCGCTTATCATGCGGTCTATCCAACTGATCCGATCAATTGACAGAAAGCAGCCGGTCCACGACTCATTCCCAAACACAAGCATTCTAGCATCCTGCCACCATTGTTGTGCTGCTTTATCTTCTGGTATGAATGAAGATGTCATCAAACGCTGCCGGAAAACATGAAGGGGGGAAAAAAAAAAAAAAATCTCTTTTTATCTCCTTCTCACTTGGAACCTTTTTCCTCTGCCGTTTCGCCTATATCCACCTCTTGTGGGGCTATAAAGCTCTGTTGCCATGGAAATGGGGGGGAAAAAAAAAAAAAATCTCTTTTTATCTCCTTCTCACTTGGAACCTTTTTCCTCTGCCGTTTCGCCTATATCCACCTCTTGTGGGGCTATAAAGCTCTGTTGCCATGGAAATGCAAAAGGCTGTTATGGGATTGGCTTGGGATGGTGTGATGAAGCGGCTCAGGGACGGCCCTCAAACTGCCACTCTCGTGAACGGCCCCACCCCCTCCTGCCTGCATTCGCTCTTCCAGACTGACTGATAGCTATTAGATTCAGTCAGGGAGAGGAGAGGAACATCTGCAGCTTAATATGAGCGCAGGTCTGTCAATAAGCATTACGCAGCATCAATGGAATAAAAGAAAATTGATGAGGAAAAAAAATGAACAGGGAGGAGTCACTGAAAATGGCATAATGACATCAATCTCATAAATAGACTCAAGTCGGCAGACTTCTTTAGCAATTCCTGCACTGATTTTGGAGGGAAATGTACAGAGTTTTATGGAACAAATGTAAACACGGTGAGGTAAAACATCTAGTGCATTCATGTGCTGATTTTGGAGGGAAATCTATGGAATTTAGGCTTGCCGCGATAGACGATGCTGACGGTGATACCGGTGTTAAGCCGCAACACCGGTTATGTCACTTGCCCACCGCGGCACCGACCCCCACCGTCGTTTTGATTTTTTATAGTAATAAAAATAACTTAGTCTAGTAAAAGAACAGACACTACAATTAAAAACTGAATGCGGCTGCTCAATGCAGCATGCCGAACGACAGACGCATCACAGATTAGATTTCATTTATCCAGTGAGGAGAGTGAGGAGAGCTGACTGAAAACCCGCCATAAAGTCTTGAGACATGTTTTTAAAAAGTTGAACTTGCATTAATTTTTCATTGCTTTCTAAACATGCCGCTCTCTTGTGCGGAGCGCGAGTGCAACGCTGATAGATGTCCCTCTAGAAAATGTGATAAATATGCGTTCTGTGTGAACGGTTTGGTTTCGGTTTTGACGTAAATAACATCATCTCTGCATTGATGTTCTTTTTTTCCCGCAATATTTTGAATGAACAACGTAGCAGCGCCGCATCTAGTGGGTT